CCATAGATCCCTCAAAGTTGCGACCCAAGTTGATAGGGTTGTAAAGAAGGCGTACGGTGTGTTGGCTTTCGTTGGCAGGGGAATTGAGTTTAAGAGCCATGAGGTTATGCTGCAGCTCTATAAATCTCCGGTTAGACCACACTTGGAATATTGTGTTCAGTTCTGGTCACCTCATTACAGGAAAGATGTGGAAGCTTTAGAGAGGGTGCAGAGGAGATTTACCAGGATGCTGCCTGGACTGGAGGGCAGGTCTTATGAGAAAAGGTTGAGGGAGCTAGGGCTTTTTTAATTGGAGCGAAGAAGGATGAGAGGTGACTTGATAGAGGTTTACAAGATGATGAGAAGCATAGATAGAGTGGGATAGTCAGAGACTTTTTCCAGGGCGGAAATGACAATTACGAGGGGGCAAAATGTTCAGGTGATTGGAGGAAGATATAGGGGAGATGTCCGATGTAGGTTCTTCACACAGAGAGTGGTGGGTGTGTGGAATGCGCTGCCGGCAGTGGTAGTGGAGTCAGATACTTGAGAGACTATTAAGCGACTCTTGGATAGGCATATGGAGGATAGTAAAATGTAGAGTATGCAGGGTAGATTGACCTTATTAGGATAATAGGTTGGCACAACAGTTTGGGCCGAAGGGCCTGTGCTGTTCTATGTTCTATGTTCTATGTTCTATGTTCTATGTTCCATGTCAACCACTGTCTGAGAAAGAGCTTCTGATTTCAGATTTAAATTTGCATTTGATCTGTTTATACGTTTGTTCTCATGAACTATTTCGATGTTAGGTAGATTCTGAGTTAGGAACCCAGAAGTAGCTGCAGCAGATGCCTCCCCATCGGTGACTAATTACGAAGTTGCTTTTGGGAGCACCTAGGGGCTAGGTTATGCATGATGGGCCGTCTCATGTGTTTTCATAGTAAGGGCAAAAGTGAGCACCAGCAGGAGTGGAAACTACACCCTGAAGGCACCTTGAGTGGGAGGAAACTGCCATTGCGGCACAGTAATAGCAGAGACATCAGTTTCCATTAATAAATATAGAAAATGCCGTGGAAACACAGCAGGTTTGGTAGCATCTGTGGAGAGAAAAACAGAGTTAATGTTTCAAGTTCAGTATGACTCTTCTTCAGAACTGAAAGGGGTTGGAAAATGTATTTATATATACTTTTCACAGAGGTGGGGAGTGGGGTGAGGGCAGCAGATGGCTTTGAAGCCCAGTGCTAAATATAAAAGGGGTGTTAATTGTAGTGAAAGAGAAATGGAGATGTAAAATTAAGATATGGAAGGGGGAAAATGGGTCCTTTCTGTTGAGAACAAAGTAAATGAGATACAAATAAGGGCTGGGGGAAGAATCTAAGAGAGATGGAGATCATGTGGTCAGCCTCTGAAGTTGTGGAATTCAATGTTGACATGTTGAGGTTGTAAAGTATCCAAGCGGTAAACAAGGTGGTGTTCCTTGAACTTGCATTGGGCTTTGTTGGAAAACTGCGACATGCCCAGGTCAGAAATATCGGCATGAGAGCAAGGTGGTTTATTGAAATAGTAAGCAATTGGAAGCTTGTCGTCATTACCATGGACAGAGTGGAGATTTCCACAAAGTGGTCACCCAGTCTGCTTTTGGCCTTGCCAATATAAAGGAAACCGTTTGTGAGCGGCAATTACGGTAAGGGATTGATAATAAAAGCCTGCTTCTCCTGTAGCATGTGTTTAGGATTTTACACAGTAAAGAGGGAAGAGGTGAATGTGATTTTCTGCAATTGCATAGGAAGGTGCCACAGTGGAATGAGGAAGCTTAAGGAGTGATGGAGGCATGGTCCAAGTTGTCACAGAGAGAATGGTCCTTATGGAATGCTGGCAGTGGAGGGGAGGGGAAAATGTGTTTGATTGTGGCAGAAATGGCAGAACCCCTATCATTGTTCTGGGAAGGATGGAAGGCGATGAGGGCCTTATCAATCACAATCAGGGAGAATCTACTTTTGAAGTAAAATGTAGGTCATGTTGAAACCAACTCATTGGAGTTGACATTGTCAAAGAAGATATGATGGAGATAGAGAAACTGAGAGAATGGAATAGAATCCTTACAATTGGCACTTTGAGGAGGTGTATTTGAGGTAACTGTCAGAGAATTAGAGTCATAGGTATGCTTCTCCAGCAAGCCAGCCAGCCAAACTGCTACAGTTCAGGCTAAAATGCTGCAGTTGGCAGCTGGGCATTCTAGGTCCAGAACTATTTGAGGTCATCTACCAAGGTCATGTGTAAGCTATGTACCGTATGCATACACCTAAAGCAAATAACTTTTAACCAGTCACACTAGAGTGACTGAGAAAAGATCTTGTGGAAGCATTAAGATAGGCAAAGGCACACAAAAAAGGCACTAAATTAACATTTATTCTTGCCTGAATTATCAGATAATTAATTTATAAATTTTGGATTTAATTTTTTTGGTATTGTCTCTTATTTTTGTGATGTGGCGTCTAAGTTGGTGTCATGGTTATTGACAAATTAAAAGCAAAGAATTTGAGACTATTAGTGAATGAGGAATTAACATTGATGGTATTTTTCATAAATTATATTTTCACATAAAATCTGGAGAGAATGCAGCTCTCTAGACTGCAGCTTCCCTTCCCCTGCCTTCTTCTGGCATCTTGTTCTAGCTCTACAATGTTCTGCGCAGTTGAAGGTACAGAGATGAGTTTTGCTCCCACTCATCTCCTACCCCATTTCAGTGAAATCACAGAATAATGCTGCCCAGAAGGAACTACTCATTCCATTATGTTTAAGCGGGTTTTCTGGAAGATCTATGCACTCTATCCCACTCTGTTGTTCTTTTTCCATAGCCTTCAAATCCCTGCTTCCAATTTTCATCTAATTCATTTTAAATGCATTTGTTGAATGTACTTCTGCTATTCAAGCAGTATTTCCTTACAACCAGGTAACAAATACATCTTAAAGTTTAAGAAGGCAGCTCACAAACACCTTTTCAAAGAAAACGAGGGATAGGCAATAAGCGCTGGTCCTGCCAGTGACATTTATGCCCCATAATTCAATAAAAGAAATCTGTAATAAAATAAAGATGATTTATTGAGATACCAAGGTGTAGAGCTGGATGAACACAACAGGCCAAGCAGCATCAGGGGAGCAGGAAGGCTGACGTTTTGGGCCTAGACCCTTCTTCAGAAATGGGGGAGGGGAAGGGGTTTCTGAAATAAATAGGGAGAGAGGGGGAGGCGGATAGAAGATGGATAGAGGAGAAGATAGGTGGAGAGGAGACAGACAGGTCAAAGAGGCGGGGATGGAGCCAGTAAAGGTGAGTGTAGGTGGGGAGGTAGGGAGGAGATAGGCCAGTCCAGGGAGGATGGACAGGTCAAGGGGGCGGGATGAGGTTAGTAGGTAGGAGATGGGGGTGGGGCTTGAGGTGGGAGGAGGGGATAGGTGGGAGGAAGGACAGATTAGGGAGGTGGGGACGAGCTGGGCTGGTTTTGGGATGCGGTAGGGGGAGGGGAGATTTTGAAGCTTGTGAAGTCCACATTGATACCATTGGGCTGCAGGGTTCCCAAGCGGAATATGATTTGCTGCTCCTGCAACATTTGGGTAGCATCGTTGTGGCACTGAAGGAGGCCCAGGATGGACATGTCATCTGAGGAGTGGGAGGGGGAGTTGAAATGGTTCGCGATTGGGAGGTGCAGTCGTTTAGTGTGAACCAAGCATAGGTGTTCTGCAAAGCGGTCCCCAAGCCTCCACTTGGTTTCCCTGATGTAGAGGAGGCCACAACGGGAACAGCGGATGCAGTATACCACATTAGCAGATGTGCAGGTGAACATCTGCTTGATGTGGAAAGTCTTCCTGGGGCCTGGGATGTGGGTGACGGGGGAGGTGTAGGGGCAGGTGTAGCACTTCCTGCGGTTGCCGGGAAAAGTGCCAGGTGTGGTGGGCCTGGAGGGGAGTGTGGAGCGGACAAGGGAGTCACGGAGAGCGTGGTCCCTCCGGAAAGCAGATAAGGGTGGGGAGGGAAAAATGTCGGATTGCAGATGGCGGAAATGTCAGAGGATGATGTGTCTGATCCAGAGGTTGGTGGGGTGGTACGTGAGGACGAGGGGGATTCTGTTTTGGTTGTTATTGCGGGGAGGGAGTGCAGAACACCTAGGCTTGGTTCGCACTAAACAACTGCACCTCCCAGTCACGAAACATTTCAACTCCCCCTCCCATTCCACAGACGACATGTCCATCCTGGGCCTCCTGCAGTGCCACAACGATGCTACCCGAAGGTTGCAGGAACAGCAACTCATATTCCGCTTGGGAACCCTGTAGCCCAATGGTATCAATGTGGGCTTCACAAGCGTCAAAATCTCCCCTCCCCCTACCGCATCCCAAAACCAGCCCAGCTCGTCCTCGCCTCCCTAACCTGTCCTTCCTCCCACCTATCCCCTCCTCCCACCTCAAGCCCCACCCCCATCTCCTACCTACTAACCTCATCCCGCCCCCTTGACCTGTCCGTCCTCCCTGGACTGACCTATCTCCTCCCTACCTCCCCACCTACACTCACCTTTACTGGCTCCATCCCCACCTCTTTGACCTGTCTGTCTCCCCTCCACCTATCTTCTCCTCTATCCATCTTCTATCCGCCTCCCCCTCTCTCCCTATTTATTTCAGAAACCCTTTCCCCTCCCCCATTTCTGAAGAAGGGTCTAGGCCCAAAACGTTATCCTTCCTGCTCCTCTGATGCTGCTTGGCCTGCTGTGTTCATCCAGCTCTACACCTTGTTATCTCAGATTCTCCAGCATCTGCAGTTCCGACTATCTCTGAAGATGATTCATTGTTAGCTTTTCTTAGAAGTTTGTAAAAGCATAGGTAAAGATCTATATCGGAACCTTTGACCAGTTGTCATTGATAAGCCAACAGTAAAAAAGTTAAATATTTGCATTCATTGGTAAAGTACGGTTACCACCCATTTCTCTGTTAAAACACATTGAGACTTGTTGAACTGAATTTGTTTTGCAAATGAAGTCATTGAAATATGTCTTATACTTAACTGATTTTCACAATCCTGTTTTCATTCTTTCAATATGGATATAACAATCTTGCTGGTTTTCCTTTTAACAGTAAGTAAAGCATATTATGATTTTGTATTACTATTTTAGTAGGCAAAATGTGTCTTCGGAACAAGTTATAAATTAATAGGTTCAATGCAAATACAGCAGCAATATCATTTGCTGTACCACTAGAATCTCCACTGTAGCTTAACTCCTGGTTGGGTAGATCACCATTTTATTTATTAGTTTATGCCATTGCTTTTCCCATGGTACTGCTCTTGATGTGGCTACAATAATTATAATCCTGGAATAAAGCAGAATTAGTGACTACAGAAATTTGCAGACATAATTTTAATGTTACGTTTTAATGTTGCACACCTTTTTTTATCTCATATCTGCATTTAATGGAAGTTATCCGTGTAAATTTAACAGGATGTAGGATCAGTTCTTTGTTAATAGTTGTGGTTAAGTCTTCCATCTGAAGAAGCATTGTAATTATACTGTGATGAATTCAGAGAGTTAGTTATCATAATAAATGTTGATGTAGGAATACATATTGGAAAATATTTTTAAAAATCCATATATAGCTAAACTTTGTAGTGTTTTAAATAGATAACATCGTACCTCTGTTTTCTGCTTTCCTAGTCCCATATTATTTGCTTGGATACATTGAAAAAATATTTTAAGCAATTGTCATTTATCCATTTGAGCTGGGCTCTTAAATGGCTCGGGTAGAAAACCTCAACATTAAATGGAAAGGTTTTTGTTGTTTCTTATGCCTTTCCTTTCCAGCTACATTTTCATATTTATTTCAACCGTCCACTCCCTGTGAGAACAGAATTGCACGCTTTTTATGTTTTTCAATTTCAGCGCAAGTGCTTCAGTTGCTAAATAATAAGAAGTGAGCATAGAATGCTTCCAGTATCACAGTGTTGATAACGATGAGTGGTTTTTCACTTTAAGCAAGTTGCAAACTAACTGACGTATTTTTATTTTGTCTGAATTGTGGTGACTGGTTAACAATTCAAATGTTTGGATAAAGCCATCAGAATTATTTCTCTCTCTTTCAAGTTTGGTCGCACATTTGGTTGAATGAAATAGTGGATCTCAGATTCTGCGACTTTTACTGGACTTTCAACCAATGTATGTACCTCTGCGAGATCACGAGCCTGGTAACACATTTCCCTGATTAGTACATTCAGGTTGATGGTGAATTTGCTGAATTCCTTCTCTGTCTTGCTACTTTATGGCTTTTTTCTTTCTGTTGTGAAACGTCAACTTGCCTGCTTCTCTGATGCTGCTTGGCCTGCTGTGCTCCTCCAGATCTACACTGTGTTATCTCATTTGTTTTGTTGTTTTCTGTCTATAATAGTTAAATTGCATTTGAAATTCATAAGCTCAATCCTTTGCTTTTTAATATTTACTCATGGGTCATGTGGCCAGCCAGCATTTATTCCTGTCCCTAGTTGTGCTTGAGAGCTTAGTAGTGATCTGCTTTCTGGAACTGCAACAATTCCCGTGCTGTAGATAAAACAACAATGCTATTACGGAGGGAGTTCCAGCATTTTGAAGGAACAGCAATATATTTCAAAGTCAGGAGCAAGAGTGGCTTAAAGGGAGACTTGCTTATGGTGGTGCTTCTATGTATTTGCTGTCCTTGTCTTTTTGAGATGGTAGTGGTCATGGCTTTGGAAGGAGCTGTCTAAGAATATTTGTTGAATTTCTGCAGTGTATCTTGTAGATCATGGAATCCCTACAGAGCAAATAGAGGTCATTTGGCCCAGCATGTCTGCACGAACCCTCCGAAGTGCATCCCACCCTATCCTCATAACCCCACATTTACCATAGTTAACCCACCTAGACTGAACATCCCTGAACATAATGGAGCAATTTAGCATGGTCAATCTATCTAAATGGCTTGTCTGTGGATTAACTCACTTACTCACTCTGGGTGTGTGCAATGCGGATCTTGCAGCTGCTCCTGAGATTGCAGGCTTACTTACAGATTTATCATTATTTTATTACAGTTATTATATTTCACTAATATAAGATTTTTTTTGTTTTCTTTAAAATAAAAGAGAACGCAAAAAACTAAACAAAAACAATCACTTATTTTTCTAACAGATTGTTTTTACGAGCTTATCAGAGACCTACAGTGAATGGCTGAAGTTCTTTTTTTACTAAATTTAGAAGCATTAAAAAATAACCATACTCGTTTTAAGGAGTGAACAGTTGAGGAGTTTTTCTTTTAAAATGGAGTTGTGTCTTTGGTTTGGGGAGCCCTACAAATGGTTGACTTTGCAGAGGATTTTTTAAAATATCCACAGAAATTATTGAAGAGGCGTAGTTTTAATTCAGTTTATCAGCTAAGTGGTTGATTTTATTTAAGTTTTATATGTTTGATTTCTTTTCAAACTTTCTTTTTGCAGTTTCACATTACTTTCTGTTGCAATGAAAGGTAGTTTATTTTATATATAAGGTGTTATTGAAAGTGGCTTTTTTATTAGGATTAATGATATTGAAGGCATATAAGAGGCAGAGAGTGAGTTGGCTAGTAGACTTAGAAAAGTGATTACAAAGCAGGATCATCAGATAGATGAGTGACTGTCAGGAAAAGTGAGAAGTTATTTTAAGCCTCCTGTGGTGATTCCTCTATCAAGTAGATATTCAGTTTTGGGTACTGTTGAAAGGAATAGTCTCTGAGGAAAATAGAAGGGATAGTCAGTTATTGGACACTAGGGATGATTCTTATGTTAGGCAGCATTTGAAAAGATTTGAAAAAATAATTGTTATAGGGCACTCTCCTGTCAGGGGCACAGACAGATTCTGTGGCAGTGAATGTAAATTTAGGGTGGTATGTTGCTTTCCTGGTGTTGGGATTAAGAACGTCTCTAAACGTTTCAAGCATATTTGAAATAAGTACAAGAAGGCAGGTATCCCATCACCAAATCACCCTTTATTTACATGTGCACTGAACAAATGCTCAGAACAGCCAGCTCAGAGTCAGTCCCTAGAGTGAAGACACTGTCTATGGCTGAAGAGGTGGTGTGTTGTTCAGGGATTCAGGTTTTTGGACAGGTGGAATCTCTTCTGGGACAGAAAAGACTTGTTCAAAAAGGATGGGTTTAACTTGAATTAGAATGGGACCAATATCTTAGCAGGGAGATTTGCCAGTTCTATTAAGGGGAGACTTTATGCTGCTGGACGTGGGAGTGAAAGGAGCAAGTCAATTAGAAAAGAAAGACAACAAAGTCAGAAAACATAATAACCCTGAAGAATTAAATTGCATTTAGTTCAATGAAAGGCGTCTTACAGGTAAAAGCTGAAAGAACTGTAGAAGCAGCAAATCAGAAAAAAAATAGAAATTGCTGTAAAAGCTCAGCAGGTCTGGCAACATCTGTGGAGAGAAATCAGAACAGTTTTGCGGAAGGGTCACTCAGAGGTAACATTTTGGGTGAAGTGACCCTTCCGCAGAGCTGTTCTGATTTTTCTCCACAGGTCTTACAGGTAAGGCTGATGAACTCAGGACATGTTTAGGACCGTGGGATTGGAGGATCATAGCTACTAGAGACAGTCGGCTGAGGGATGGGCAAGACTGGCAGCTCAATGTTCTGGATTTTAGATGTGTTAGGAAGGATAGAAAGAGAGTCAAGAAATTCAGGGGAGTGATGTTTTTGATTCAAGAAAATATGATGGCTGTAACTAAGGAAGATATTGCTGAAAAATCATCCGGTGAAAATATATGGGTAGAAATTAAAAATAACAAAGGAAAGATCACCTTGATAGGATTGTTCTATAGGCTCCACCCCCCAATAGTTAGAGAGAAAGTGAGATCTTAGACATATGTAAGTATAGTAAGGTTGTAATTATGGGGGTTTTAATTTTCCAAACGTTGACTGGGAGTACCATAGTGTTAAAGGTTTGGATGATGAAGAGTTTGTCAACTGGTGTTCAAGAAAATTTTCTTTATCAATATGTGAATGTTCCAAATAGAGAAGGAGCAAAACTTGACCTTCTTTTGGGGAATAAGACGGAGCAGGTGATTGAAGTGAAAGTAGGGTAATATTTTGGATCTAGTAACCATAATTCAATAAGTTTTAAAATAATTATGTAAAAAGATAAACCCTCCATAAAAGTTAAAGTTTTTAATTGGAGTAAGACAAATTTTAATGGTATGAGACAATAACTTCTAAAAGTTGATTGGAGTAGATTGTTCACAGGTTAAAGGACGTCTGACAAGTGGGAGGCGTTCAAGCATGTGATGACGTGAGTTCAGAGGCATTATGTTCCTGTTAGAGTGAAGGGTAAGGCTGGTAAGATTAAGGTACAAAAGATGAAGAAAGATATTGAGGTTCTAGTCAAGAATAAAAGAGAATCTATGTTAGATATAAGCAACTTGGTTCAAATGAATCTCTTAATCAATATAAAGAATGAGGGGGGGGGCATTCTTAAGAAAAAAATCAGGAAAGAAAAGAGGAGATAGCATTGGCAGATAAGGTTAAGGATAATCCAAAAAGAATCTGCAAGTAAATTAAGTGTAAGAGGGTAATTAGAGAGTGTGTAGGGCTCCTTAAAGATCAAAGAGGCCATCTTTGTGATGAACCCCAGGAGATGGGAAAAATACTAAATGAGTATTTTGCCTCAGTTTTTACTGTGAAGAAAGAAATGGAGACTAGAGAACTGGGGGAAATAAATATTGATGTATTAAAAACAGTTCACATTACACCTGGAGGAAACCCACACAGATACAAAGAGAATGTGCAAACTCCATTTGGGCAGTCACCCAAAGCTGGAAATGAACCCAGGTCCCCCAATGTTGCAAGGCAATAGCACTAACCACTGTGCCATCCCTGTAGATAGTGAGTAGATAGTATACACTGCTGTTAATATTGTCAGCAGTGGCAGAAGTGTATGTTTATGGATGTGGTGTCATTCAAGCAGGCTGATTTATCCTGGATGCAGTCAAGCTTCTTGAATGTTGTTGAAGCAGCACTCACTCAGGCAAGTAGAGAGTATTCCATCACACTCTTGACTGTGCCTTTGTAGGTTATGGTCAAGCTTTTGGGGAG